AGGGAAGGCGAGCAGGGCAGCCGTGCGGACAGACGGATGGCCATCGCTGCCAGTCCAACAGTGAGCGTGGTCCTGTGCAGGCAGCAGGGAAGTGATGCGCTCTGACACCTCTATGGCAGCAAATGGGGGTCATGCTTTACACATATCAGCAAATGTGCAAGAACCCGCCTGCTGCAGGGCCACGCTTCCACCCTGTCCATTGAGGTACCCATGTTTCCTAACTTGCAGCATGTATTAGAAGGGTTAATACTGAAAGTGAGATCATTTTCTTTTCTTCCATCCCCTAAATTAAATCACCCGTATCCAGGAAAGCAAGGTGTAAGCTTACTTGCAGTTTCACATAGAAGCTCGGATGGATTAGGAGCGAGAGGTCATGCAAAGTTGCTGTCGGAAAATTGAACCAGGCAAATTCAGTGCTTGCTGGTTTGGTTTTTAATCCCTGCCAAGGGCTGCAATAACATCTGGCTGCTGCCAGAGCAGCTGGTTCTGCGCTGGGGGACCAGCACATGGAGATGCCCTGCAACAGGAGGAAGCCTGGACTGGCACCATGTGCCCAGAAAGTGGTTTGCAGAGCAAGCACATATGGAGGAGGCAGCCTCAAGGCAGGACAGAGCGGACTAAGCTAATAGTGAGGTGCCTGCTACATCCCTCTCGACAGCACAACAAAGGAAATTGAGAAAAATACAGATTTCTACCCTCCAGCTGAAGAAGGCCACGGGATGGAGAGCTGCAGCACTGGACCAGGACGTACAGGACACTACCAAGGAGAAATCAACAGCCCAGGCTCCAAGGCTGATACTCCGTATCTAAAGGTTATCTCCCATTCCCATCAAAGGCAGTGTTTTACTCTAGAAACCAAGCACACCTACACAAGAGGATCCAGCTAATGCCTTTGTGTAACCAAGCACACAAAAACCAAGAAAACAACCAAAGACAAACAAAACCAGACAAGAAAACCAGCCACAAAACCTCATTTTCTACCGTCACTGGAGATGCAGAGGCACTGAAACTGCAGGGATGAAGAGGTGGGGACAGTGAAGACACGTGGTTTTGCAGCGAGGACCTGGAACTTCAGGTTAATAAAATACAGAAAGCATGACCTATCTTACCTTGTCAGAGGACTTGCCCCTTCAGGCCAGGCTTTGTAGGGAGGGCTACAGTCCTGTGAGCATCCCACAAGCACAGCATTGGTACAAAGCCCAGCTGAAAACCTTACCTGGTCCTGGCAGCCCAGTGATGCTGCAGCAATCAGGGCTCACCCCAGTCAGCTGTGGGCACTTGGAGGCCCATGGGCATGACACTTCCAGGCAGGACATGATGCTGAGGGGAAGACATGGCCCTACCTGGTTTCAGATACACGTCCTTGACAACAAAACCTTGTTAGACTCCCCGGTGAACACAAAATATTCTGCAGGTTATGGGATATCATGTCACAATTGCATATATTAATTTCAAATCAGATTTGGCTTCCAATTAACTTTTTAGTCTATTAGAGATAGATATTGCAGGTGAAGAAGATTCCAGGTGCCCAAGCATCCCCTATTGCTAACAACACATCAACTCATGTGTTTCCATTTACAAAGGATGTAACACATATTAGTAAGTAGACTAGCAGGAGTTTTTTATGTTTAAGAAAAAGCACGATGTTGGTGCTGAGCCCAGAGAGCCAAAGCTCACAGCTGAGCTGAGCAGGGGACAAGGGGCCAGCTTGGGAAGAGAGGTGGGTGGTTGCATTTGGGAAGCTTTTTAAACTGCGACTCATTCCCCTCACATCAGTCATTTACAAGTAGCAATAAAAGGTGCAAAATGAACAGAGAAACACCAGATTTTGCAAAATAAGTATATTTTAAAATTTGAACCAAATACAGTTTGCATGTATTGCATGAACCACATGCAGGTGAGTACTATAAAAGATAAAAATACCTGTGCACATACTTTATAAATCCAAGCATTTATATATAATTCATAAAATTGTCGTAACATAAAATAGATGTGATTAAGAACAGAAATTTTACACATAAAACTGGATGAATGTCCCTGTCAATCTGTGCCTTTCTTGGAACCGATTCCACCCACAGCTTAAATGCTCAGCTTGCTGTCAAGGATTTCCCCAGTTTGGGTCCCATCCACTGCAATGTGGCACTTCCCCAGTGCTTCAGCTCTGCCATGCAGCTGCACGATGTAAAGCTCTCTTAACAGAAGGTGTTTGAAAGCCTGAGAGCAGTGCTTCTGTGGTGTGTGGGAGGGAGGGAGACTGAGGATGGGACCCCAAGTCCAGCACAACCAAAGGCACATGTCCTGCTGACAGACTCGTTGAAGCTGTTTGCATGCACATGTAAAGTCCACACAGCCTGATTTAAAACAGTTCATCCACAGCCTGGCAAACCTAAAACCTAAAAATGGTTAAAGTTTCTGTCGTCTTCTTCCAGAGGCTGCTGACCTAGTTTTAAAACCACAGAGCTCTTTCATGCGCATGCTTCCTGCTCCTCAGACGAAACTCCCAGCTACGTTTTGGAACTTGATTATGTTATAGTGGTCAAGTGACGGCAAAGCACCTCCTTTACATTCTTCAGGTTAATTTTTCTTGCAGCTAAGAAGACGCATATGTGGTTAAAAAGCTGGTTTTCACTGTACATTCTGCTGGAAAGGCACTGGGGCCATGCTTGAAGCTCCGAGGTCAGAGCGTGTTATATCTTAGTAGCCAAGCAGACCATATTCACTGCTGTTTTTCTCAACAGCTCATTGGTCCAACAGCTGATATATATACACAGATTTAAAATAAGCAGCCTGAGTTATAGGGGCGACCATCCTACAATCAACTGCTATTCTACAAGTATTGCAAGTATTCTACACACAGTATTGCAAGATGCATGGAAGACCAACCATAATGCTGTGCAGCACCAGAAAATGATAGCATCATACCATCACCACATGCTGTAGTCACCAGAGTCACCACTTAGCTCCTTCCACAATGCACTTTAAGGACATTGCTTGTCACTCCTGCATGATAGGAAGGACTTTGTCCCATCCCCTAAAGAGGGAAGCTAAATCAGAGTTAAACAGCTTGAACACAAGCCTAATGTTGTGGTAACAACTCTGCTCAGTTCTATGTATTGAAAGGATCTTTCAGTGGAGGCTTTCTTATTAATATCCGAGATAAATTTGTTACAAATCACAATGTTTTGTGTTGGGAGTTTTCTTTCTTTTGTTTTACTTTCTGGTTTTTTTTTCTGGATTTGAGATTGCAGTGGGTAAAACCATACACATGGAACTAGCCAGGTCTGGGAGCACTGTCAGAAGACAAGAAGACACTATGACAAGTGACAAGTATAATAATCACCAGATTACTTTAGTGAAATGCTCAGCTGTACCCAAATGTGGATGTCTCCAATCTGTGCCAATGATGCTTGCTGAAGAAACCTGCTGTCTTGGCCAGCAGGAAGCTCCTGCCAAAGCCCGACAGCAGGAAAGTGCCAGCACTTGAAGAGCCTCTATCTCCACATCACCTTCCCATCTTCAGCCACTCTTCCTTCATCCCCAGGCCCCAAGGGATAGCGTGGCACAGACAGAGCTCCACATGCCCTGAGGACAGCACTTTGCTCTTGGCTGGTTGCCTCTTCCCCCATCGCACCAGCCGCTCGCTCCCCCATGCCCCAAATGTGAGCTCTTCCTTGGCTTCCTTTCCTGTTTCAGTAGGAGCAACCCCATACCCCAGAGACCCACAAGGCCAGTCTCCCATAGGCAAAGCCATACTTCCAACATCCCCAACCCCACAGGAAACCAGCCACTGCTGCTACTTCCGCAGGGATTTTGGCTTTGTAACCAAAGATTCTTGTCATCTTCAGTTATCTAGGCCACTGTTCGCTCACTATGGGACACAGTGAGGTCAACCCAAAGTTAGTTATGTACAGCAGTTCCCATGACAGTTCAGAATCGGGTATTTTAGGCTGATTTTAGGGTACTTCAGGCAAACCTTGGGTTTGCGTGACAAAGTTTTGGTAGCAGGGGGACCACAAGGGTGAATTCTGTGAGAAGCTTCCCCTGTGTCCCATAGAGCCAATGCCATCCAGCTCCAATATGGACCTGCTGCTGGCTGTAACATACTTAAGAAGGGGAAAAAACCCTGTGCAACAGCGATTGCAGGAGGAGAAGAGAGTTGTGAGACCATGTGTGAGAAACAGCTCTGCAGACTTTCAGTGAGAAAGAAGGGAAAGGAGGTGCTCCGGGGACTGGAGCAGAGCTTCCCCTGCAGCCCACGGAAGACCCCACATTGGAGCACATGGGTACCCAAATGTGGCTGTGACCCTGTGGAGAGAAGAGGCCACGCTGGAGCAGGTTTGCGGCAGGACTGGTGACCCCGCAGAGACCCACACTGGAGCAATCTATTCCTGAAGGCCTGCACCCCATGGAAGGGATCCACAATGGAGCAGTGGGTGAAGAACTGCAGCTCGTGGGAGGGACTCACGTTGGAGAAGATGGTAGAGGACTGGAGCAAGGGAAGAGTGTGAGGAGTCCTCCCCTGAGGAGGAGGGAGAAGCAGAAACAACATGTGCTGAACTGAACACAACCCCATTCCCCATCCTCCTGTGCACTGCTAGGAGGTAGGAGGTAGATATTTCGGGAGTAAAGTTAAGCCCAGGAAGAAGGGAGGGGTTGGAGAAAGGTGTTTTTATGATTTGGTTTTATTTCTCATTATCCTATTCTGATCTGATTGGTAATAAATTAAATTTTTTCCCAAGTTGAGTCTGTTTTGCCCATGATGGTAATTGCTGAGTGATCTCTCCCTGTCTTTGTTTTGGCCCACAAGCCTTTCATTATATTTTCTCTCCCCTGTCCAGCTGAGGGGGGAGCAATAGAGAAGTTTTGGTGGGCCAGGGTCAACCACCACACCAGTGCAGAAAGGAACAAAACACTTTTTGGTCCAGTTACCAGCCTTGATCAACTCATTGCATCTCTGAAATGGTGGTGCCATACATTACTTTGTAAGGAAGGTGCTGCACTCACATCAATCCTAACAGCTTGTGCAGCAGCGGCACGACCACGGTCGCACTGAAGCCAACTGAGGAGTATGTTATAAACTTATATGGGACTTCGACTTCCAGTCGCCTCCGTGCTTCCAGGTCGCCAATGGGAAACTTGTATCGATAACCCAGCATGCCAAGGACCATGCTCTTCATGAGCTGTCGTGTCAATAGAACAACAAAGATCCCTACAAAGAACCTGGCTAGCACGACCACCACTATTTTACTGGTGATCAGAGGAAATCCAAGCTGAAAATTTCTGCTGGTGTAGGCTAGTGCAGCGTACCGGTTATTTAACCAAAATCCCACAGTCGCTCCAGCTCCCGCTCCTAAGATAGTAGTGGTGTCTCCCCTGGTAGGGCTGTAATAGTCTAGTTTGGGGTAATTGTAACATAAGACGAGAGGCACAACTACACAAAGCAGCGGGCAGAAGGGACTAGTTAACAGCAAGTGATCTATCATGTCCCACGCAGGGTACAAAAGCACGAGCAGCACAGCCGAAATCAGCGCTCCACCAATCACGTCCTGCAAAGAGATCATGTTTAAAAGCTTTGTGAGACCTGGAAGGTAAAACAGATACTCTCTGGTAATCATAAAAGACCACTATCTGCACTCATGGGCACATGGCAGTGGAGGAATGCCCTGAATTCACAGCAATGGCACTGTCCATGCGCGGTGACAACACAAAGCCTGTGCTAAGCAAAATGCAACAATCCATAAACCCAACCTTAGCCCTGTCCATGTGAATGTATCTGTTGACCTATACTTTTCCCCTAAACAAGTGAGAATCTTCCCCTCATCTGCTTTCCTGCTTTAAGGGCACTCTCCACGTATGACCTCAATGGAAAAGGCAGGTGCACAACTCCATCTCAGGTAAGCTGCCTTCATACAAACCCCTCCCATAATCCTACAAGTAATTTCATCATAATGGCAAGATTATCACTTGCTTGCTTTGCATAAATAGGAAGATGCTGTCCTTTGTCAGAGACAAGCACTCAGTCTGAGAACACAGGCTGCAGCGTAGAAAAGTGCAGAGCTGTGGGACGTGGTGAATGTGCCATGATTTCCGCCAGCCGTGGCAAGAGGTAAGCACCACTGGGCAGGAATACATCAGGAAGAAATTGGTTGTCCAAGCCTCTGAAATCCGGCTTACAGTAAAGTGCCTGAGGCAAGCACATAGTTAAAACCTGATTTATTAACAGAGGCAGATAAGGTGTTATGAGAACTTGATTGTTTTCAACTGCACGGCTGGGAAAGGAGACAAGCAGATAACCCCTAACAAAATCCCTCTGTATGGGAGCAGCCAGACAAAAAGCAGTACAATATATTTCCCTGTGCTGCTCTCCTTGCACCACTCAGGAGGCAGCAGAGTCTGTATTCTGAGCATGAAATGCACTGCAAAATCATGGACAGAAATGTCCTCTTCTCAAGATTCTATCTTTTTCACTGGGTCACGACAGTTGACTCCTACCATGCTTGGTCACAGGCTAAAATGAATTATTTATAAGAACTTCACTTACAGTTAAGGCAGGAATGAGGGGACTTTCCCACAACAGAAATATTTAATGGCTTTTTCTTAAATGCATTACACCAGTATGGCTGAAATTTAGCTGTTTATAGCTTCCAGGCAATAGATTCACAGTGCATTTAGTTTAAGCAACTTCCAGAGTCATTTTGCATATTCCTAATACAGATTTTCACTTACATTTATTCCATCATCCATGACATGGGGATAGCCATGGAAATACACAAAGTTGTTGACAGATGCCTGATACATAAAATACCATTAGGTGTCAATATTTCATGATAATCCACCTTCTGATAGCAATTTTTGGATGATAACTTTACACCAGAAGGCATGCATTTGGCCCAACACCAAGTAACTGCATCAACATGAAAGAGCTGGGGGTTGCTCCCAGCACTGATGCTCAGAAATCCCATCACCACTCTGTACCTCCATGTCCCACCCCACTCTTTGTCCACCTCATATTAGAAGCAAAAGTCCAGACATCTCAAGGCCCTCTCCACGTGCAATTAAGGAGTGAAACTGAAAAGCTGTTCATGTGCTTTTCAGTTCCAATTAATTGGACATTTAACCAAACGTTAATATTCCCCTAACAAAGGCTTTGCTGAGATTTACGCAGCTGACTCCAGCTGTTCCCAGCCAGGGCACACATAGCCTCTATTTATGGACCTGATTAAAGCTGTCTGAATTTTGTTATCCTTCTGGTCAGCCCAGACCATACAGTGTGTTACCATATGGTAACACAGCTCCTGTAGTTTTCAAGGACCCAGATAACCAGCTCTTCTCCCAGTCAGTGGTCTCCAAACTGGATGCACAAGGAAACCCATCAGGCTGTGGGAAGAAAATACTTTTTGCACCACTAATAAGCAACAAAAAAATAAAACATTTTTAAAGTAGTGCTTATTTCATCCTTTTTAATTTGTATTTTTGTATGTATCAGTACATGTATATAATTCATAAATAAATAATTGTATATTAGGGGTGCATGCTCAAAAATTTTTACTGACCAAAAAAGTTGGGAGACCAGTGGTTTATTCTGTTCCCTGCTCCCTCATCCACTAATATATGGGCTTTTCATTTTGGAGACTCCTTACTAAAAGCTTCTGGAGAGTGTGGGACATACCCAGCCACAGCCATCTGTAGTGACTCTCTTTGGTTCTGGTATGCATGGACAGAGGTTTGATTTTCTGAACACCCAGAAGAGGCAGGTGAGTTCAAGACCAACACTTGACAAAGACATTTAGCAATGCAGAATTAATGATTAACACCCCTCACCCGTTAAACTAAGGAGAAAGTGGGAAGAGGAGGGATGGATCTGATCCCTGTGAGAAAAACTGCTTTTCTGGACTCTCCCTACCATGCACCCAGGAGCAGGACCTTAGCTTTTGCCAGGTGCTGTTAGCACTCCCAGGAAGCACATTCTTGCCTGTCTGCCTGTGTAAACACATTAGCCTCTCACCAAACCCACAATTATAAAGGAATTTTTAAATGAGGGCAGGCATGAATTTTGCTCAAGGTGCTGCACTACCGGCAAAACTTAAAACATCCAGTTTCCCTGCTGGGACGGGCCAGCTCCCTCAGCACGGACAAGTCCTCCACAGGCTCCATCCCTCTCAAAAAGCTCTCCTGCTGCCGTGAATCTCGGCCCTGCTACCATACAGCACCCCCTGCCTCCTCTACGGTGACGAGCATCTGCCTGGGTTTGACACAAGGGCGGCCTTGCTCCTATTGATTTTAACTAGAGCTGTCATTTTGCTTTGCTGTCTACAGAACAGGCCACTGTTGGGTTTCTCACATTGCAAGTCACTAAAGATATTTTCCTGTGCTACAGGTACATTAAAGAAAATATATAAATAATAAAAATGAGGTCAAGATTCAGCTGCATGTGATGCCTGGGATGCAGAACTGCCCATCACTGAGGGAACATGGTAGCAGCGCGGTCCATGGGTACCAGCACCACTGCTGCCCTTCTTGCACTGGGCTGTTTTTGTGTTTCATAAGGTCTTAGAGCACAGTTTGGTTTAGGATTGCAAAAGCTTTCTAAAGGCAAGACCCTTCTATGCTCTTCCCAGTGCAACTAAGGTTGGAATTGCAAACACTCACAAAATGCTCCCAAAATATTGAACCAGCACACCGAACACAGCGGGACTCAAGCATTTTCCACGATACTGCCAGCCAGAGCAAAAATAACACTTTTTCTATTCTGTCATATATATGGTCACTTACTGCCCGAACTCCTTTCACACTTTCATTTAGTGTGAGATGCTACTCACTCTCCTAAACAAAAATCTTACTTGCTTTCCACTCCTAGAGGTTACTGTTTCATCCCACGAGGACTGTACTGCCACAGTGTGTAAGGTGATGCCAGTTTGCTAATTGTTTATCAGCTTTAAAATATTTAAGGTAATTTCAGGATTAATGATGGTGTTAAAATAAACCAACAGATACAGCAAAGGGTGGGGGCTACAGCGTACCCTCTCCCAAGGGTGTGATCACCAACACATGCACCAACACTGAGTCAGTGTACCTTGGGGAAAAAAGAAATAATTTATTTTGTTTAGAGAAACAACTCCCAGCTTTCTTTTTGGTCATAAAAAGTGACCTTTTCACTTCTCCCTGTATCCCACTTGTGCTGGACATTATTGCTTTTAACTCAGGGCTGCAAGAGGGGCAGCTGCAGTACCAGTCACGTTGTCACAACACCAGCAGTGCCTCTGGAGTGAGTGGCTGCCTCCCCAAGGCTCCGCTGCTGCCTGGGGACAGGGCAGTGTGCATTGCAGCTAGGAGGAGACCCAGCTCTGCCGCACGGCAAACATCAAATCCATATGCTTGGTGCATTAAGAAACACCTACTTCTGACCCTGAAGGGTTAAAAGGTGGCTAAAAGTCTCCCTTCCTCCCCCTGCTTTGGGGGCTGCCCTCAAAGTTCTTCCTAATAGGATTTGAAGTAATCTTGCTCACATCAACCCTGGCAGGGGGGTTGGAACTAGGTGATCTTTAAAGGTCCCTTCCAACCCAAACCATTCTATGATCTTCTTGGAATACTATGCGCTCACATGAACATCACCCATCATTTCAAACACAAGGTGACTCAAATATGCTCCAGCAGTGGCGAGACAGGAAAACTTGTTCACCTCGCCGAGGCACAAATCAAAAATTGGGCCAAAGTTTAAGATGAAGAGTAAATGGGTATTTTCTAAAATATGATTCTCCAGGGAAAATAAACCAAACACCATCAAAACAGTCCTATTGTCTCAAATTGCTTTTTCTTCCTTAAAAATAACCTGTAAAAAATTACAGATTTGCTGTTTCAAAACGTGTCCAAGTTTTTACTCTGCCCTTCCCAGGTAATTCCAGATTCCTTTTTTGCCAGCTCCTCAGACTCCATCATTTAAGATCTAAAAAGAAGGACCCTGCTTTTCCCCTGCTTCTCCATGCATGTGGGATATTCTCGTGTTGAGGTGGTGCAGGTGGGTTGTTGTAATTCCGTTATCTCTTAGCAGTGCAAATGCATTGCTTCTACACCATCCTCTAGCTGGGTGATGCTCTCCTGGTAACAGCCCATGCAGCGGGTGTTTATTCCCTTTTCCCTGTGCATGGTATTCATTTCATATGGCTATAATGATGTAGATAACTCGCATACCAGCTTAATGTCTCTCCAGAAGGTCTTTAATGGTGACATCTCTTCTACTGATTGATTTTTGAGGCTGGTCCTGATCCAAAAGCAACACCAGCAATGCTGAAATACAGACTGATTTGTAGAGCCAAGACTACAGAAGATGAGCCTGTACAGTGGAGCTTCAGCTACAGCTGTAGCAAAGCATGATGCAACCTGCTTGCCGCTCCTTCTCTGGCTCCTCAAACAGGAAAAATTCAGTTACACTAAGTCAGTGAGTATGTTACCCATTCGTTTACTTTACTAAAATCTTATGATCGCTTAATACATAATTACATCCTGTCAGCATTCATTTTCTATTAATAACTCAGTTAAGAATCCATTAGACAGACATTTCAGCTGCTGGCTTGGCTGAGCCGCTCCTGCGCCTTGGCCCAGTGGTGTGTTGGGCAGCTCAGGGTGGGAGCCATCCCTCCAAGTGCAGAAAACATCTCTGAACTGCACTTCTTTCCCGGAAGAACTTGTCATTGCAGGTGGGATGCCACCACAGCAAGATGGATTGCATTTGGGCAGCTGTGAGCACCAGGCATTTTCCCAGCTCTGTCCCCTCCATGGCATGCAGAGCGAAGTACGGTCACCCTTTTGAAAGGCAGCACTGCTCACACTTCAAGTAAGGAGCTGCTTTTTATTTTAAAGCCCTTTTTTATCATGTCAAAGGCACAAAGGACTTTTTCTTCTTTACCCTAAAATCCATCTAAATTTAGAGAAGCCTCATTATGATGGACCAGCAAGGGAAGTATGCAAAGAATTTTTACTGATTGACTTAAGGTCACTAGCCAAGAAAGGGTGTCTCCAGCTTCGATTTTATACATAGTTTTGATCCACTAGGCCTGGAAGGGAAGGTCAAGCTCTATTTTATAGATAACCTTAATCTCATAAGGACTCTCTTTTTTATAGTCATTGAGTCCCTATTACAAACATACTTGGTAAAAAAAATACAACTATTTATGCACATGTGACCAACCAACAATGCATATGATACTCCTGCAGGGCAGTAGCTAGGAGTTTTTATCTATACTTAGAAAGCTAGATGACCCCTCTGACCACTACATAACAGATCAGTAATGTTTCCTCTTATCAAGAACAAAGCAGCTACTGCGTAATCAAAGTTGCACTGAAATCTGTTCTTAAAATAGGACTGACACCTCTAAACAACTTGTGCCCAACAAGTCTGTCATATAAAGTCATGGATATTTTATGATTTTTTTCTATGGATGAAGTATTTGTGTATCTCAGTCCTCTAAGAATGAATTTCCTTCCAGCTGAAAATGAGAAGCTTGATATTGCATTAAGTGCCATTGCCCTGTGTGTTTACAGGAGACATGCTGTCCCCCAGTCCTTGAAGGGAAGCTCACTTGTCATGTATTAGCCTCTCCTCTGCTCCCCCCTGGTCACCGGCATGACTCACCAACCTGTTATTCCTTCCCTGACACTCCCAGGCTAAACCACCCTGGAATACTCCCTGACAACAGTGATACTATTGCACAAAAGGCTCAGCTCAAGAGCAGCTCCAGTTGCCAAAGTGCATTCCATACAATTAAAATTTCAAAACAGAGAAGTACAATTCAGATGCCACTCCATCCTCACCTGGCTCCTCAACCCACACGCACCGCTGCTTCCCTCATGGGATAAATAGTACCCCTGGAGACACAAATAGCAATAGCCTGGGGATTTCCTCACAGCTGCCTTTGAGCAGACAGCCTGAACTTTAGTGGCATGACTCCTATATTCCTCAGTGACATGGACTAGGCAGGATGCGTATCTCTTGAAAAGTGGGAGATGGGAATCACTGAAGGTAAGCAGAGCTGGAGGCACGACCAGCACAGGGCAGCGCAGGGCATCCTTACCAGGACTGTGTGCATCCCTGTGTAGAGCCTGCTGAGACACACCAGTGTCGAAAACACGAATGCTGCTACCAGACCTAGTTCAAATGGATACTGTGAAAAGGGAAAAATAAACAAACACACTCATTACACCATTATTTCACTTTAACAAATAAAACATCCAAACAGCCAGACTGACATAAGGATCTCAAATTTGGAAGTGGCTCCTGAGCTATACTTTTCTAAAGAGGTTAACATGAGCCAAGGGGAGACCTCGCATTGGCCAACATGCAATCCTGCTGGAAGGTCATTTCACCTTCTTTGGAGCCCACTTTTGTGAAGGTCTTAGTGTGGGAAAGCCTGGGAATTTTGCAATATTTTCCCCACAATATCTACCTGCAAAATCCATGTTAGTGCTAAATGTCTTAAGAAAAAAAGGCACAGCACTTTGTACCAGCTATGCCTGAGGTTGAACTGCAGCCTCAGATCACCCAAAGGGTACATGATAGCTTAAGGGCCTGACCAAAAGGTGTGTGATCAATAGTCCTCAAGCAGTGGGCTGGGAGGGGAAAATCGATGACTGGGCTCAAATTGCAATCCAGCTATTAAGGCAGTGAGGAGTGCTCTTCCCTGTGACACTTAAGGTTTATTCCTCTTCTTATAAAGTTGGATTTGCTTGATTCCCTCTCTGAGTTGCCTATGGGCATGGAAAGAAGTGTTGAAATAAATCAACATTTAAACAGGGGGGCAAAAAAAAAAAAGAAGAAAAAAACCGAAACACATTTGGTAAAGAATAAGCTTAACATGTTTAGCCCTTAATCCACTAGTTCAAATTCTGCAGCCTAGTGGACTGGTGGGCTCCTTTCAGTCTGTAAAGGAGATTTTTATGAAAAAATAAACCAACTCAGAATATAAATAAATGGAATCAATTCACCCGATTTGACATCAAGCCTGTAGTGCCGAGAGGCTGCTGACTGACATGGGTGGCCACAGGTCAGTGAAAAAATGTGTCTGTGGAAATTCTAAGCGTAACAACTCACTTCTGACCCTTTCCTCCCTGGCGTACTCCAACCCTCTAGACAGAGAGCTCAGAGCTGGCTGAAGATGTCATTCCCAGTTCATAAAACGTTATTTTTACCCCAGTTCTCTAAGCCTTGGGAGGGTTTATGCCCACTTTATTCCCCCCTCAGCAGGCCACCTGGGAGTTGCTCCAGATTGGCAGCTGATGACCTAGGCATCTTGAGAGGATAGCTGTGTAATGGGCTCGTAGATTTTTCCTTCTTAATAGAGGCAATCAAACCATTTAATTATTTTACAGCAGCTTTATTGTTTCATGGCAGGTTCCAAGAAGTACAAGACAGCCTGTGAAGAGCTGTGTCCCCCACTAGTAGCTTATCAATTGAGGAGGAGGAGGAGAAAGCATTGCTGACCAGGCCTTTCTGGCAGCTGACACATGGGATGGATCTGGCTTTCCAGGGCTGACAAATATCGCATCCTACGGCTCCTCCTGCCCATGCTCATCCCACTTCCAAGCTGCTCTGACCAGTTACCATATGGAGCAGAGGGCTGGCAGTGCAGCTTTAGGCGTCACTGACCTGCTCACTTATCCTTGCCCTGGGGGCAGGAGCAAAGCCCACTGCTTCAAGGTTGGGACTGGAAGAGTCTGGAAGTTAAATTCCAGAGATATTGGTGTAATTCAGAGATCTCCATTCTTACGAGTTACAGCCCTAGGACACAGCACCTTGCATCAAACGGGTGGCCACTTTTGTCCCTTCACACATGCTGGCACTGAAGGAAGGACACCCAGGGACACTGTGACAGCAAGACCCCCTGGCCATACTGTGGGCCCTCTTGGTTACATGGGTCTATCTTTGAAATACACTTCAGAGGACTGAGAAACATGCTTAAATATGGTGCAGCCTGGAAATTACTATTGCTAGAGTACAGGAAATACATGTTTAGAGTCACAAAATGGAACAAAAATAATCATTGTGGAGAAAAGACAAATAAACCTTTTAGAAGGCTGAAGGTCTGGGGAAAATAATTGAGAGATCTCATCAAGCAGCCTACTGCCAGTGCAGTGAAACTGCTGTTACTTCGTTGACAAACAGGCTCTCAATCATATTATATGCTATTAGACTAAAACAAGTTAGAGCCAGGGGATTTCCAAGGATGCTTTTTCTGCATCCTCCAAAATGCAGGTAACACAGAGCTACTTTGGTTTCCCTGGGAGCCAGCATTTCCCCATGTGCAGCATTGGCTTGACAGGCACAGGGAGAGCACAAGATGCTGACACTGAGCACTTTCCACAGCAGCACCGTGGCTCCCTTCATGGTCACCCCATATACAAAACACTGAACTCCCCAAACCTCAGCAGGGCAGGGCAGCCCACCCACAGTGCTGAGTGGGGTTCACGCTAAAGAGAGGAGATTTCCACTAAATTTCTTCTTGTGTCTATTATGGGCAAGCTATGGGTAACCACAGGGAAAAACACATGTCTGTGAGAATAAATACACAGCTCCTCTGAAAACGGCAACAGCTTTGGCTTGGCTGGTTTTCTGGAGCTTGCTAGAAACAGACATGTGCTTTTCTTGTCTAACCTTTTTCTCTCCTCTTTTTCTTTCTGCACCCCTTACCTTGTACTGGTTCACAGTTGCAATGAGAAAAGAGAAGGAGATGGCGGTAGCTGCCATGGCATGGGTGGAAGGCATCCCATACTCTGCATTCGTCCTCATTTCCAGCTTGACAACAGGCGGCGAGAGGGGCCGAGGCCACTTCAGGATGTCCTTGGAGACTTGGCCTATGTACATCACTATCTGGGGAGAGGAAAGGCCACATGCCTGTCAGTCAGCACAGGCAATGCCCACTCAGCTTACCTCTATTTATCCATTTTTTTTCCTGCAAAATCCACCACCCGAAGTGCAGAATTTATCCCCTGAATTATTAAAGGAGTTTCCATTATCCCAGTCAGTGAAGGAAGTGGTACAATTGCACCATGTAACCTGATCAGAAGTGGGATCAAAGGAGGGTTCACTGATGAGATGCAGCAGTACAGGCATGAGATGGACAGCTGGCTCCCAACCTCCCCATCCCTTACAACTCCTCTCCTCCAAAACAAACAGCTATAAGAAGTTTTTCTGCCACCACCTTCAAATCACTGCCTTGCCCAGCTCCACGCAGCAGGTGTCCGAGGGCAGCACCAGCTCTCCTGTTCCCAGCAGCTCCCACTCCACCCACCGCACCAGATGCTGCCGGAATCCAGCCGGGATGCACCACCACTGTGGATATTAAAGAATAACCTTGGCGTCCTCGAGGAGGCAGCAGAGAGAAAAGTGGACGGGTAACATGAAAGTACCAGTTCTCCTGCCTAACTCCAATAACAAAGGGCTTTTGTGCACTCCTTGGGACACCAGGGGTTTAAGCAAGGACTCCATTAATTAGCTACCAATTAATAGCTAATTAATTAACAACTCAACAAGCACTGCAACACAGTTGGGGGGGGGGGGGGGGCAGGGGAATGCTGCATTTTCAGGTTACTGCAAGCAATAACAATGGGAAGCAGAGGCAAGACGCAAACCTGGGCAGCATGCCCAAGAGGTGCAGCCCATCCAGCAGCGCCCAGGGCATCTGCCATGCTGATAGCCTCTGCTTCTCGGCACCTCCTTCCTAAATGCTATGGGCTCTCAGCATCCACAGTGAAAAGGATGTGAATGAAAGTCACACAGGGTGTTTCCAGAGGATGTATTTGTTCCTACCCTCCTCCCTTTGGATAGTGCAGCCAAATACATGCAAAACAGGCTCTACAAAACAAAGCAAACCTTTTTCCTAACACAAAAATCAGGTTAACTGATGTCTGCCATGAAAGCTCAGCTGCTGCTGTGCGAGACAGCTCACTGTTCTGTTTCTCACGCTTCCACTAGCAAAGGAGGGGTCTTAAAATAACATCCTTCCTATGCTGGTGTTAGCCATATGCCAGAACAGCTACACGATCATCTGCTGCCACATTTGTCACTAGCCACATGGTGCCCCTCTCTGTCCCACCAGCCATTTAAGAAAATGGCTTCAAATTAAAATAAAGATGTCGGGATTCACAAATCAGGACCAGGAAAAAGCCAAAACATCACGTTCCTCCACCCCCCTCTACAGCAAAGAACATGCCACAGGAAGTGCTAGGCTTACAGCCAGCACCAGAGCCTGGAAAAGTGACTGCTGCCGCCTTTGCATCCTTTATCCCTCGTCACACGCACCACATTACCACCTTGTTATCAGCAGCACCAGTGACACACCGGGCAGGTGCTAACTCACCTTTATACATGGGGCATAGGGCAGTCGGCAAATACCCTGCCCAGACTGCTCACAGTGAACAAAGGCTCAAGCACAAGTGTCTAAAGGAAACACCTGAGGGGGTTTATTTGATTAATGCCACTGGTTATCAAATGGTTGCAAGCACATCTTTGGAAGTTACTTAAATTCCAGAGTTGAAAACCAGATTACTCTCTCCAACAGAACATGAAACGTGGAGGCTACCATTTGTGATTCCATCTGACAGGCAAAGTAGGATGAGCCAGTTCATCAGCAGTCCTTTGTAATAATGACTTCCACCTGTAGAAGTATTATTAGCACTAATATATGAGTGTTACAGAAAAGGAAATGAGTCATTTTTGAAACAAAGGTTATGCTGGGACTTCTCTGATGCTGAAAAACAGGCTGGATGCTGGAAGAGGTATGGATAAGCTAAAATACCAGGAATCCCTGCAACATCTTTCTTCCTGGTATTCCAGATTAAATTCTGACCCTTCTATTAAAAAAAAACCAAACCAACGAACTGCATATTGTATAGACACATACTGTTATGAGAGATGAGATAAGCTCCATAAAATATGGAGTCCAGTATATGTTCAGACTAAGCACTGATCTCTGAAGCACCAGACCTCTGGTTTTAGCTTCTCTGGGTGCTGTGCACTTGTTTTTGCACACATTGTCTCAGATTATTTGGCAGAAGCAGCAGTTGTGGGTGTGGTAAAACATCCCCCATCATCTGAACTGGCAGGTTTCCCAGGAAGGCGAAAGGTAGCAAGTGCACCATCACTAGAAGCCACCCAGCAAAAGTGCTGCTCACAAGGGGCTGAAGGAACACAGGGCTGCCCATAGTCTGCAGCTCACAGGATAGCAAAGCAACCAGCCCAGGGCCCCTGCCACATCTGCTAGTGGTGGGCAGAGGGATGTTCTCCCTGGGGAGATGGCCCCATGGCATGGAGCAGGGCAGGCAGAGCTCCAGCTGGGATCTATGTACCTGTGCCCAGCTCAGTCCTGACGGGGACTATCACAGAGCTGGCAACTGAGGGCAATACCCCTGTGAGTGTTTCAGGCATGAACATCCAGAGCTCAGCCACAAACAGTGGAAACAACCTCCCAAAACCAACAACAACAACAAAAGGAAGAAGCAGGAGGCCACCAAAGGTACACTCATTACATGGCAAGTGTTTTGTGGAGACACACAGCATTTTATTTTATTGTAGGATTGATCTGAATTGCACTCTTCTGTGGCTTTCACCTTTTCATCTTATGAAGATGGTAGGTATCCACCTTGGTTAAGTGGCATATTCTCTCCTAAGCCACATTTAATTATCTCCTGACCTTATTTCTCTGTCATTTTGGATTTACTCTCTAACAGTCGGGAAAGAAAGGAACATGCCTCAAAGTTTTAGCCTGTTATCAGCTTTTTTCAATCTAGTAGATGAGAAGACCCCTGTAATAACCATTGCAAACCATAACCACTGAAGCACTGGAAGGGAGGAGAAGGGTGATGGAGAGCTGAGCATGGCTGACAGGCTAAAGATCAACACAGAGCTAAGCCTCACATACGACTGACTTGATTTACCTATTTGTGCACTGCTGAAAATCTTTGATGACCCTGGAATTAATTTAGCAGAGGCAGAAATTACCCCAAGTCCCAACCAGCAGGTAACTTGGGATTGCCTAGGTCCAGAGATTTCCAGCCTGCCCTGGATGAGCCAAACAGTGCACTCCCAATGGCTTCGGACAAATGGGAGAGGAGGTTAAGGCCTGACTCAGGATCATGTCACCTTGTAGCAGCTGATCAGCAGCAAGTTCATGTGTTTCAACATCTAAGGCAGGGTGATCCCTCAAGCCTGCAGTGCTGGGCTTCACCCAGCTCCCCTTTCTTCACAAGGACTGGAAGATTAAGAGAAAGAGGAGCCAGGCTCAAACCTGGCTCACCTAAGATTTAAATGAAACCCATTCCAAAAGTCTTATGCCCGTGTATGTTTCCACCCAGGGTGTCTCCAAGCCCAATGTTGAACACTGGAGAGAGGAAACAGGCCCTTGAACACAGAGTGAGCAGCCACTATTTGCCATCTCGGAGGCATGGCAAAGAAGAGAAACTTTGAGCAAATCTATTCTTCATTGTTTCTTCCTTACATTGCAAACATTTTTTGCCTACCTAGAGAGCTGTACTGCAGTTCTCAATGTTTTCTCCCGTGTTTATTTCTAACAAAGTTTGTTTTCCACTCCGAGTGACGCAGATCAACCAACTTTTCTGCAATTCTGGCAGAAAATGGTTTGCAAGCATCTCCAGCATAAATAATTGTAATTTGCACATTAATAAGTTCCTCTGTCTCTGCATGGAGAATTTGCCTGAACCTGGAGACTTTTCCATTACTGAAGCAACAAAGTAAAAGCTGTGATGGATTGTGCAGGACACAATTAGCTGGAGAAGATAACCACACAGAAATGCATGGACGTTTAGTTGAGATTTCACCAAAGTTCATGGGATGGGCATGGCTAATTCCCTTTACTCCAAAAGCTGACAGCAGTAGCTCTAACTACCCTGTAGCTCAGACTGTTCAAACTTTCTAAAACGGAACTTAACCATTTCACACCTGAATTCCAAAGATGTGCTACTGAACAAGGGGTGCTGCTTGGGCTGGCTGGGAGGGAGGGAAGCTGGGTTCAAGGATGGGAAAGGGAAAAGCACCACAGCCCAGCACCGCAGCCATTCCAGATGACTGGGCACCCAAAAGTGGGGCCCAAACCTCGGTAGAAGCAAAGCAATACTTTTTGGCATCAGAGAGGTCCATACAGGGAGCCCTTGCCCCAAGACCCCCTCCACGCTTTCCCCTCTTAGGAGAGGTTAAAGGACTCTGCTCTACCTCTGCATTAGCAAGTCCTAAAAGCTACAGTCGGGACAAATGCCACAATGCGAGCCTTTACTAAATAAATGATGGCAAAAGCAAAGTGGACCACGGCACTGGAGCAGAGCATGGTGGAGGGGTCACTGGCAACAGCCATGCATAATGCAGGGAAACATTGCTTTCCCTTCTGTAGTAACATGTGTGCATACACACGCATGGAAAAGTTGCTCACATACTGCTGCCCAATGGCGACCCTGAGGAAGTTATGTCAGCTCGCTAATATTTGTAGTAGCACTTGACAGTGATGTGGCAGCACCAGCTGGAGACGTGGGAAATCATATGCTCATAGAATGGCTTGGGTTGGAAGGGTTCTTGAAGATCACCCAGTTCCAACCCTGCTGCCATGGGCAGCGATACCTTCCACTAAACCAAGCTGCTCCAAGCCCCATCCAACAGGTTGCCTGGATAAGTTGTGGTGGCCCAGGGGGCTGTTCCCTTCCTGTGAGCATCAGAGTCCCATCAAGTGACCTGGCTCCTTGACATTTGTTTAGCTGTAGTGTTGCTTCAACGATCTAAGAGCTGGGTTTACTCACCTGCAGGTGTTGCCTGTCATTTTTCAGTGGTTTTCCCTCACTAGTCTTGCAACCACTGCGAGCAGCACT